TGTTTTTTTATTATAAATTATAATATAATATAACATTATAAATATATTATTTTTATTTAAATTATATAAATTATACTGCATACCAACTTTTTATAAATTTTTTAAATAAAAATTTATATATTAAACTATAAAATATCGATAGGCAGATGAAAACAAAATGTCTCCATCTGCAATATAATGTAAATAGTAGAGTTTGCCGCACGGACAACTACTTTTTTTGTTTTTAGATATATTCATGCTAAGAGCTAATTATTCCTGTCTTCAATTAGAAGTTTGTTTAACTCATGATATTACTTCAATAAATTCGGGATTTCCATCAATTTCAACATCATTTTTTTTTTCTTCTCTTCTTCTTCGTCTTCAATCTTCCCTCCACCGCCACCCGTCAAATTTCAGTTTGTTTTTGCTGCTTCCCATTAATTCCGTTGCAGTTGGCGCTGTCTCCTAACGGTCATTTTTCTTGATTTCTATCTTTTCTTTACTCTTGCTACCAAAAAAAAAAAAAAATCTTTTCTTTACTCTTTTTTCTCTTTCGTAGTACTCGAAACCCGTCACTTGTTTCCTCTTTCGCTCAGATCTCTGAATTTCTGGCCCTGGAATCGCTTCCATGGAAGAAGCTCTGGAACTGGCACGGTCTAAGGACTCCAAGGACCGAGCAGCTGGAACGGAGCGTCTGCATTCGCTCCTCGAGTCCTCAGGCAAGCCATTGTCTGCTGCCGAGGTGGCTTCTCTGGTAACCACGTGCATCGACCTGCTCAATGACACCACTAACCCCAGAGCGTCTTTAGGGGCTTTCCAGTGCCTCGCATCTACAGCCGTGCTCTCTCCCGACCGCTTGAGGGTCCACTTCGATGCGGTTTTGCCTGCTGTTGTGGAGCGCCTTGGGGACGAGAAACTGCCTCTGCGTGATGCGGCAAGAGGACTGTTGTTGACTCTCATGGAGGTTGGTGCTTTCTTTTTCTTTCTATTTTTGAGATTAATGAGGCTTGAGGTAGTCTCTTTGGTAGAGTTTTTAGTTCATCATTTTTTTTTTCTTTTTGATGTGATAGTTCTTCGTCAAAGTTTTCTCCTTTTGCGCTTGGTGGTGGGTTTTGGCACATTTTGGCTTTTTGCGGGGATTAGGAATGTTAATTTGGTTTCTGGTTCTGTTTTTACTGTACCAATACTCTGAATTTGTAATTAAGTTCTTCATTGTTAAGATGATAATGGAAATTTTAGTTTTTTTTATACCTTTATTAAAGAGGATTATTGAGGGAGAAAGTAGTTGGAACTAACCGCACTAGTTATTCATGTTTTAGGTTTCTTCTCCAACCATAATTATTGAAAGAGCTGGGTCTGCTGCTTGGATGCATGCTATCACAAGAGTCCGAGAAGAGTTTGTGCGGATTGTAACTGCAGCAGTCACTGTTTTTGCATCTGCAGAACAACTTACTCTTCTGAGGGTTGTTCTTCCTCATGTATGCCCATAGTGTCCGGTGGCCATTGAGCAAGTAGCTTCCTGGTACATCTATTTTTAGGCAATATGTTCTGTTTTATACTAATGCAACTCTATTTTTGTCAGATTTTACGGATGTTGAATGACTCAACCCTGAGCATTAAGGAAGCAGCAATGTTGTGTGTTGAGGTCAGTCCTTTAGGTTTTGAATATCACAGTCAAGCCTGTGGTAGGTTCATATCATATCGGTCACTTCTTTGCAGACCATCCTTCTGCCCT